GAGAGAGAGGGGTTTAGGAGAGAGCAGGGTTTGGTAGAGAGAGAGGGGGTAGAGAGAGAGGGGGAAGGGTTAAGGAGGAGGAGAGCAGAGCGTGACATCTTTCATTTAAACGGGGGGGGGGGGCACATAAAGCAAAGCATTGGGAAAAAAAACTAAAAAATACAAAATAATGAATGAAGCAAAGTGCTGACTACACCGAGCATCTTCTTGTTTCCTCTGATCGTAGAAAAAGAGACGAGAGCGAGGTGTGAGGTGTGCGGTGTGCAGGCCGCACGGCCAGAGAGAGAGAGGAGGGAAAGAGAGCCGGCCACGTGGAAGTGCCCCGGTTCAACTGCTGGTTGGGGCGGGGTGGAGGTGGGTGGTTGACTCAGGCCATCGTCCTTCCCGACCAGGGGGTGGGGGTTGTCGTCCCTTCGATAGACTGCGCCACGCCCCCGCCATGAGAATGTGGAATGTCCACGACTGGTTCGTTGGGCTGTAAACCGAGAGGCGAGCCACCGTCACGGGGCTGATGGGTTTGGAGCAGCGAGGTCACCCCGCGCTCGCCGGACTGCCAGCTGCAAGCGGCACGCGAGCGGGGCAGGAGAAGTTGGGTCAACTCTTGCGGATGCGATGGGGAGCCCAGGACGGCTGTCTGGCTGCTTGGCTGGCTGCCTGGGAGATTTTGGTCGTTCCAGAGGGCGTGGGGTACCACGTGTCAGCCCCCACCCCCCACACTCCCACACCTCCCACCACCCCGCACTCCACCCCCACCACCCCGCACCCCCCACACTCCACCCCTCGCGCGCCGGGTGCCTGAACACGGCCGAGTTATTTTTGTCTGCGCGGCGCGTGACAGATTCCCCCCCACCCCCCGCTCCCTACTGCACCCCGCCCCTCTGTCTGTACATTCACCGCCTTTGTGGGGGGGGGGGGGCGGTGGGTGTGTTGGGGGCACGCGTGGTCGTCATTGGTTCGACCACGTGTGTTTACGTGTGCACGTGTGTGAGAACACGTGTGTGTGTGCACGTGTGTGATATTGCACGTGTGTATGTGTGCACGTGTGTGTGTGTGTGCACGTGTGTGAGATTACGCGTGTGTGCACGCGTGTATACGTATGTGTGTGCACGTATGTGTGAGAACATGTGTGAATACGTATGTGAGAACACGTGTGTGTTCACGTGTGTGTGAGAACACATGTGTGCACGTGTGTAAGATTACGCGTGTGTGTGCACTGTGTGAAAAGCGCGTGTGTAGGTGTGAGAAGACTGTATGTGCATGTGTGAAAACGTATGTGTGGGCACGTGTGTGTGAAACACGTGTGTGTGTGCACGTGTGTGAGATTACGCGTGTGTGTGCACGCGTGTATACGTATGTGTGTGCACGTATGTGTGAGAACATGTGTGTGTATACGTATGTGAGAACACGTGAGTGTGCACGTGTGCGTGAGAAGACGTGTGTGTGCGAGCACTCGTGTGAAAGTGTGTACGCCTGTGCACACATATGTACATATGAACACGCAGTTACACGTATGTCTAAGCACACACACGCGCACATGTGCGTGTGAACACGTGGTTGTGTTTGCACCTGTGTATTCACGTTTTAAATGTAACTCTGTGTTGACACAGGTGTGTGTGCAGGTTTGTGTAGGTCGACTCAGCCTCAATGAGTACCTGGTGCAGTATTTAAACATCGCCACTGGGGAGACAAAGGCGGCCGGGCGTCGTTTTGGTCACCCACCCCTTCATATGCCGTGCCGGCCTTCATAGGTGCTCGCTAACAGCATTTGCCCCAACAGTCTGTTCAGGCTACACGGGGGATCGTTGTCTTTGTGTGTCTCTGTGTGTGTTGTGTGTGTGCGTACGCGTGGGGAGTGATACACACGCGTGAACACGTAGCCTGTCTATCTGAGTGTGTGTCTGTCTGTGTGTGTGTCTTCGCCGGTTGGAAACATTTAGGCTGGCCTGCCTACGATCCATCATGGGTTTAACCAGGCTGGATTGCGTGAGGAGCTCACAAATCCTTGAAAGATCTGGGCAAAGTCCCATCGGTGAGCTCCTCCGGCAGGCAAGGCTGCGTTGGCTGGGTCATGTAGCCCGCATGCCCAGCCATCGCTTGCCTAAACAGCTTTTGTTTGGCCGGATCGAGGGGGCTAAACGGGCGCAGCGCGGGCTAGAGAAGAGATGGAGTGATGCGGTACAGGATGACGTGGAGCTAAGTGGACTTGCCGATGACTGATACCAGCGGTGTCAAGATCGGCCTCTGTGGAGGAGGCTCGTGAAGGACGCTATTGGGCAGTTGGAGGCAGTCGCCCTCCAACAACAACGGAGGGCGGAGGAGCGACGCTCACAACAACGAGCGGAGCGCCGGATGGCTAAAGCACAGCAAGTTGGTACAGTAGGGGGCACAGGTGGTGCATCAGTCATATCGGTCATCTCGGTCAGTCGACCCGTGGCACCTGCTGGGTCTGCTCCGTGACCTCCTGCCAGCGGGCTTTCGACACTTCACGTGGCCTCAAGGTGCACATGGCCTGGCACAAGCGTCGTGGTGACGTCACCGCCACTTAGTGGCGAATGGCGGTTGTTGTTGTGTCTATCTGTGTGTGTGTTTGTGTCTGTCTGTGTGTGTGTGTCTGTCTGTGTGTGTCTGTCTGTCTGTCGTGTGTGTGTGTCTATCTGTGTGTGTGTCTATCTGTGTGTGTGTGTGCTTGTGTCTCTCTGTGTGTGTCTGTCTGTGTCTGTGTGCATCTGTCTGTGTGTGTGTCTGTCTGTATGTCGTGTGTGTATCTATGTGTGTGTGTCTCTCTGTGTGTGTGTTTGTGTCTGTCTGTGTGTGTGTCTCCAATAACCTTTTAGTGACTTTGCCCAGGAGGTCAATGTGCTCTTGAGTAGACGTGGGAACACGGCCTGACCCCCCTTCACCCCCCTCCCCACAGAACCCTCCTGACCCCCCCCCCAACCAAACCCCCTTAGAACTCCTAACAACCCCCCCCCCCCTTAGCCCCCACCTCATCTTGAAACAAGAAAGATTTCAATCAGTGCGCGGCGTCGTGCTATAAACGGACGGTTCAGAAACAGGGACACGAGGAGAGCGGGGATGAGGTGTAAATCGTCGCCACATCAAACACGTGAACAAACACGTGAACAAACACGTGAACAAACACGCGAACAAACACGCGAACAAACACGCGTGGAGCGATGGTGAGCGGTGATGGTGATGATGGTGGGAGAGTTTGATGCGCACTCCCGGATGATTTGGAGTAGCTCACGAGCGAGGCGTGCGTCTCCCTCTCGCTCGCCCTCGCTTGGCGATCGAGAGGGAGACGGCGGGAGGCGTCGCGGTGGTGGTCGAGACGAATGACCGAGCAGCAGCAGCCAAAGGCTGTCACGCATCAGAGAGGGGCCAGTAGAGAGCGAACCATGTCGAGGGGGAGATTGGTCGCAGGATCGTGAGTGGCGGCGGCTTGGGTAGGCCTTCATCTAGCAGTGGATGGACCATGGCTGCTGCTGATGATGATGACGATTAACCGAAGCGTTAGAGCTGTGATTAGTATGGTTGGCTACGTACGGTGCGAAAAAAGTTCTACATACATTCAGCAGTGGATTGACCATAGCTGATGATGATAACCGAAGCGGTGACCATGGCTGACGATCATCCCCCAACTCCCCGAGTGCATGAACAAGGCAGCGACGTTTCGGGCGACGCGCCACGATCTGAAAGTCCAGGCTCAAGCGACACTCCCGACAAAGACGATGATGATGACGATGTTGATACAGACTCAGGCACCTGAGTATAGGTGTGGCGTGTTCCAAACCCAGGTGTGTAGATACCACAATTCAGGTGCATGTGTGTGCGCGCGTATTGGTGTCACGAATATCTTGCACCGGTCCTGGGCCTACCCCTAGGTGGACTCAGCCTCAACTGAGTAACTGGTGCGGTGCGTAAAAACATCGCTCCTGGGGAGACAAAGGCGGCCGGGCGTGGTGTTGGCCACCCACCCCCTCGTGTGCCGTGCCGGCCTTCATAGGTGCTACTCGCTAACAGCACTTGCCCCAACAGTCTGTTAAGGCTACACGGGGGATCTTTGTCTCGTGTGCAGGTGTGTGTGTGTGTACACGTGTGTATGAAATGAGCAGGGTGTTTACACTTGCCCGAACAACGGACTATTAAGGCTACACGGGGGAATCTTTGTCATTGTGTCACACAAATGCGTGTGTGTAGGTGTGCACACACAGGTGTGTGTGTAGGTGTGCACACACAGGTGTGTGTGTGAAAAGAGGTGCGCTGATGCGGTGCAGGTGTTGGAGGCAGTCGCCCTCCAACACAAACGGGGGGCAGAGGAGCGACGCTCACAACAACGAGCGAAGCGACGAGCGGATAAACGGAGCGAGTTGGCACCCTAAGGGTCAACAGGCGGACGCATCTACCAGCCATGTCAGTAAACCCACACAACACCTGGATCTATCCTGCCAGCAGACAGCCTGTAACACTTCACGTGGCCTCAAGGTGCACTTAGCCTGGCACAAGCACCGTGGTGACGTCACCGCCACTGAGTGGCGGCGAACGGCGGCTGTTGTGAGCGTGAAAGTGTGTGCATGTGTATGTAGTGTGTACACACTACAGACTACACACACACCTCGTACACACAGCCCTGCACACTCACCCTCTCTCACACAACTGCGAACTCACACACACCCTTACACGAACACACACACACACCCTTACACGAACACACACACACCCTTACACGAACACACACACACCCTTACACGAACACACACGCACCTGTACACACACACACGCGTACCTGCACGCACCTGTACACACACAAGCACCTGTACACACACACACACGCGTCGGCACACCTGTGCGCGCGCCTGTACACACACACGCGTACATGCACGCACCTGTACACACACACGCGTCGGCACACCTGTACACACACACGTGTGCCGGCACACCTGTACACACACACGCGTGTCGGCACACCTGTGCGCGCACGTGCACACTCGGCCACGAACCTGACAACTCGGCTCCATCCCCAACCACGGTACACATGTCAGCCCAGTTCATCGCGTCTCCCCGAGGCCTGCCGGAGGTGGGACGAGGCGGCAGGACGAGAGGCGACGAGGGGGTCGGAGCAGCGCCACGGTCGCGCCTGACTCCCGGCCTGAGAACGGCGAGTGAGCGCACCGCGTCCGTGCCGTGCGTACAGTGGCGGCCAGCGAGCAGGGGGGGTGTGGGGGTGCCGAGCGGGTGGGTGAGCTGTGTTGGGGGGGGGGGATGGGCGAGAGTGGGTGTGGGTAAGCTGCTGTGATCGCGCGTGTGTTTGTGTACGAATGCGTGTGTAGGTATGTGTGTGTGTTTGTGTGTGTTTGTGTGTGTGTGTAGGTGCTCGCTAACAGCACTTGCCCCTACAGTCTGTTAAGGCTATATGGAGAATTTTTGTCTTTCTGTTTGTGTGTGTGTTCGTGTGTGTTTGCGTGTGTGTGTGTTTGTGTGTGTGTTTGTGTGTTTGTGCGTGTGTGTGTTTGTGTGTGTTTGTGTGTTTGTGTGTGTGGGGAGCGGTAGTGTAGCAGTTAGCGCCCTGCGCTACGAACCTGGCGACCAGAGTTCGATTCCCGCTCACTGCCAACACCAGTGACGAATATCTGAACCGATCCTGTGCCTCCCCTAGGTCAACTCAGCCTCAAATGAGTACCTGGTGCGGTGTGTAAATATCGTCACTGGGGAGACAAAGACGGCCCGTGGTGTTGGTTGGCCGCCCACCCACCCCCTCGTGTGCCGTGCCGGCCTTCAAAAGTGTTTGCTGACAGTCCGTCCACTTGCCAAACATCCCGTGCAGGCGATGGGAGGGGTGCGACTACAACTGTGAACCCTGTGACCCGGGTTCCATTTCAGTGGAGAATGCGAGCATCACCTTTCCTGGGACACCCCTAGGTCAACTCGGTCTTAAATAAGTACCTGGTGGGGAGGTGTTGGGGGGGGCTTTGTCTTTTTCTTTGTTGTGTGTTTTTGTGGGGAGCGGTGGGTGTAGCGGTCAGCGCGCTGCGCTAAGCACTCAGCCGCCCGAGATCGATTCCCGCTCACGGTCAACACCGGTGACGATTTTATGAACCGGTTATGGGCCTCCTCCTAGGTCGACTCAGCCTTGAATAAATACCCGACACGGTGTGTAGTAAACATCGCCACTGGGGATACAAAGGCGGCCGGGCGTGGTGTTGGCCACCCACCTAACAGCGCTTGCCTCAACAGTCTGGTAAAGGCTATAGGGGGGATACTCTAATCTTCGTTTTTTTCGGTAAAGTCACGTAGGTTAAAAGAAAACAAATACATTAAATCACGACGATTCGGAGACAACACAAGCTTGATACAGTACTCTTGAAACAGTGACGGTTCCACCTGAAGACGGAAACGTCGTGATTTAATTTATTTGTTTTCTTTCAACCTACGTGACTTTACCGAAAAAAATGACGAGTATGGATCCTTGCAGTTACGAAAACTTCAAATCTAGACGGGGGATCTTGGTCTTTGTGTTTTGCCAGCAGGAGTGGACGTGGAGCTGATCCGTCCTCTCTGACGATCGCTTCGTCGTCTCTGCACTGCCACTGCGGCGGTCGTGAGGCGGTCACCACCCCCCACCTCCCTTCAATCAAACCCGCAATAGCCTGCGTCTGAGGTCAGCTGTTTAAAGTTGCACGCGATCATGTTGTGATCATCGTTTGCAGCTGCGGTTGGCATCGCACCGCCGCTCCTCCTGATACACCGATGGAGTTCAACCCCCGACTCTGACGCCTGCTGCTGTATACTTGGAGTTTGCGGTGTCTCTCTCTGTCTGTCCTCGTGGTCCCACGCGTTTAGGAGTATTTGGCTCCTGCTCTGAATTTCCATTCGATGAAGATAAGTCACTTCTTTGAGCTATCATTTGTGATAGCTAGGTACAGTAAGGAACAGTGGCCTGTTCCTGAAAAAGAGCTCTACACAGTAGCGCAGTATAGGGCCCTTACCTGGTTAAAAATATAATAAATACAACACAACTAACGTGCTTGCGTCTGGGGGTGGAATTCCTTTCCAGCTCAGACCCCGCCTGCTTGCCCATCGCCACATCTATATGTAGTGACATAAGAAGGGAGGGGCTGCTGGGGGCTCTGGGACCCTGGGTGGGCCAAGCGCTTAAGCCTCTTGGCACCAGGCGTTGGGTTCCCAGGCGGGTCCAGACGCTTAAGCCTCTTGGCACCAGGCGTTGGGTTCCCAGGCGCTTAAGCCTCTTGGCGCCGCCAACGGGGGGGGGGGGGGGGGCTGTGTGTGCTCTGTGGGATGTCTGGTGGCGCACACGGCCCCACCCCTCGTTGGACCAGGCATAAAAGGGGAGCTCCCTGGACGATCAGGGCCCAGTCGTAGCTCAAGACCCAAGACCCAAGACCAGCCATCGGAGGACCCTGGGACGCTGTGAGAGCCAGTGGTGGGACTCTGGAACTCCCGACGCTACGACCTTGTGAGGGCGAGTTCCAGAGCGTAGCCAGAGTAGAGTATCTAGGCTGTGTACCTAGGCTGTGTACCTAGGCTGTAACAGAGTATCAGGAGTGTTGGAGAGTTGGAGAGTTGGAGTGCTGTTGGAGTGGAATAAAGAAGTTACCTCTACAAGTGTCTCCGGAACCCGTTACATATATATATAAATATGTATATAACCTCTTGTTGTAGCTGCTCTCTCGCTGGTTCAGCAGTTCCACTGCTGGATTCTATTTTTATCCGCCTGAGGACGACCGCTTGTGTTGCGATCGAAACGTCGGGATTTATTTTATTTTATACCCACGTGACTTTACCGAAAGAACCAAAGAGTATGGATTCCTGCAGTCACGAAAGCTTCAAATCAAGATGAATACCAATGCGGTAGTCAATGGGCGCGCGCCGCATCAGGGCCGTGGCTCGCACCGCGGCGCCAGGGACCCGGGCTGACGGGAGGAGTTGATCCATCAGGTGGAGAGATCGGCAGTGCCATGCTCAGAATATATGAACCCCCCCCTCACCCCCCCCCCCCCAGTAGAAGCCCCCCCCCCCCCCCTCCCGCCCGCCACCACCCCAACATTTTCCTGACCGCCAATGGCCACGCGGTTTGGAAGTCCGCTGTGCGTGGCCGCAGCAATGGAAATGTCCGTACGCACGAAACACAACGGGAGGTTGACCGATGCACGGGTGAGGTCGCGGAGATGGTGTGCCCGATTGGGTCAACCGTGTTATGCACAAATCTGCTCTGTCCGCCTGATGATGCTAGTTGTAATTACTGGCGAAACGTCGTACTCAGATTGTAAATGTTGTGGATTTGCTCTCCAACAAAGCGTGTGTGCTGTACTAGTAATGAATTGGCCACGTTCTGTTTGCGTGACAAACCTTACTAATTGGCTGTGTCGGGTGGTGGCGGGTTTAACAACACATTCATATTTACGCGAGCGAACCCAAAGCACCAATATTATCGTGTTATGCATGCTGCTGCTGCTGATGATGATGTTCTGGTAATTGCTGCTCACTCGGATGAGTCAGTGACTCTGCTGCTGCTGCCACTAGACCTGGAGGGCACCACGAAGAGGTGGGGTGGGGGCCTTACCATCATCCCGACCAAAATGGAACACCGCATCCCCGAATTTTCGTGAGCAGCGACTTCAGAGAGAAGGCGATATGCCTCTGACCGCCTTGTCAGCGGAGGTCTCACTCCAAATCAGTCGAGTGGCATTGTATTTGCATTCGCTGCGTAACGCTGTTAGAAGCCACCTGGCCTATCGCTGCACATACAAATCCCCGGGTCATCTCGGCCACAGTTATGCCTTCTGCACGCTAGCGAAACTTGTACCCCTTGAATGAACATCAGCGCCGGTGTGAAACATTCAGGCTTGACAGCCTACCATCCACCCTGGGTTTAAAGCAGACTGGATTGTGTGAGGAGCTCACTTATCCTTGAACGATCTGGACACAGTCCCATTGGTGAGTTCCTCTGGCAGGTAAGGCTGCGTTGGACGTGTTATGTAGCTCGCATGCCCAAGCAGTTTCTGCTTAGGCAAATAGGGGGGGCTAAACGGGCGCGGCACGGGCGAGAGATGAGATTGACTGATGTGGTACAGAAGGGTATGGAGTTGATTGAAATTGCAAATGACCGGTACCAGCGGTGTCAAGATCGGACTCTGTGTTGGAGGTTCATAAAGGACGCTGCTGGGGCAGTGGGAGGCAGTCGCCCTCCAACATTGTGGGTGCCACGGTGGCTAGGAGATGTTAACTACCTCGCCTGGTATACAGGAGGTCGTGGGTTAGATACCGCCCCTGACACCTGCTGTATATTTGGAGTTTGCGTCTCTCCCCGTGGTCGCGTGGATTTTTCTCTAGATCCTGCTGTTTTTCCCTCCATGTTTAGAATCACGCGTTTAGATTATTTGGCTGCTAAAATTGTCCACGTGACGACAAGCCCACTTCGTTGAGCTATAATTTGTGATAGCCAGGCCGCTTCTGAAAAAGAGCCACGTAGCTCAGTGACCTGTTGAAATACAAAAACTAGTTTAGTTTTAACAACAACGTAGGGCGGAGGAGCCACTCTCACAACAACGAGCGGAGCGCCGGGAGGATAAAACGCAGCGAGGATGGCCCCGCTGAGCGCAGCTGGTGCCTCTCTGCCAGCCAGCGACAGCCCTTCACACAACACGTGCACCTAGCCTGGCACTCAAGCGGCTGTGGTGATGTCACTGCCACTTAGTGGCGAATGGCGGCTGTGGTTGTTGTTGTTGTTGTCGCTGCAGATTCGAGTGTGCGCCGAGAGCGCCAGGCTGGTGCCGGTCGCCGCTGTAGCAACTCGACAGGATACTCCTGGAAACTAAACGATTAAACTAAACTATTAAACTAAACTATTTGTTTATTTTACCAGGTAAGGCCCGCTGAGCTATGCCGCTCATTTTCAGAAGCGACTTGGGCCGCAATTGACAGCTCAACGGAGTGGCTTTAACGCCATCATCATCATCACCACGTGGACATGTTTAGAGCAGTCAAACACTCTTAAACGCGTGGCGTTGATTCTAAATGTGGAGGGGAAAACCGCAGGACCCGGAGACAAATCCACGCGACCACGGGAGAAAGAGAAACACCGCAAACTCCAAACACACAGCAGCAGCAGGCGCCAGGGTCGGGATCGAACCCACGACCTCCTGCACACCAGGCGAGGTTGTTAACATCTCACCAGACTCGGTGAGGTGTTCCTACATAAATGATGATGATGATGGTGATGTCATGTATATCCAACCAGTCTCAAGACTGAAGGCATCAAGACGGGCTTGAGGATTGTCACTCGCAGTGGTTGGCTACGCGGCTGCACGCGGCTGCCTGTAGTCCAGCAGTGGAGGCAGCAGCGAGAGTTAGTGGATCACGGCATTGACCTTGTCGAGGAGGAGCAAGTGGACATCTGTACGTGGGATAGAGTGTTGCTACCTCGCACAATGCGTTGAGGTTTTTTTTTCTTCCTCCGGGTGTTCCGCTTTTCTCCCACACGTGTACCGAATAGCACGGTTGGCTACGTACGGTGCGAACGAAGTCCAACAAAGACAAAGATCCCCCGTATATCCTTAATAAACTGTTGGGGCAAGTACTGTTCACGAGCACCTATAAAGGCCAGAACGGCACACGAGGGGGCGCGTGGCCAACACCACGCCCGGCCGCCTTTGTCTCCCCAGTGACAATGTTTTTACGCACCGCACAAGGTACTCA